CAAACATTAGTAGGTTATTTATCAAACTGAAAATGCACATCTTCATGTTATATGCAATAAAAATCCAATCTTTGTACACAAAATACGTTTTAGGCCAAAGAGATCTCAATAAAACCATTTGAAAACGTTTAAAAAGAATGGGACAAGGTTGGGCGAGATGTTACTCGCCTCTGAGGTGATGAAGAGCTCCTGGATCTGAGGGGGAGTGATTCCTTTCGCTGCAAATTGAAAACCCCGCCGAAAATCCTCCGATTTCTTCCCCAAATCACCAAGAACAAGGCTAGGGTTTGAGAGAGAAGAGAGGGGGCTAGGGTTTTCTCTGGTCTGAAGTCCTAAGGGGTGAGTTCGGGTGAGAAAGGATATGTACCAACAGATAAACCCGACCCAAACCCGAACCAAAACAAAACAGACCCGAAACCTGTAAAAATTAGAAATCGGCCTATCAGTCGACTGATGTGTCGACCGATACCATCAGTCGACTGATGTGTCGACTGAACTGAAAAATTTCAGTTTTGTGCATGTTTTGCTAATTTTGCAAACTCCAACACACAAAGCTCTACACCCATACCCCCATATCATTTCAAATAACTTGCTATCATGCACATCAATGACCTCAAGCTATTTATCATAAAAGAATTATTTATTTACTAATAATTCATATATATTCATGTAAAAATTACGGGGTTCTACAAATTCATTGTATTCTTTTACCCTATAAATATTATTAACGTCAAAGATTAAAGTTTCTAACTTAAAATTAATTAATGCTAAGGTATAATATTATAGTGTTTTATTATTTTTATGGATTTAAACATCTATCAATTAATGTTACGAATGTATTTTGGCTACCCCAACTTATTATATATATGAAAAATACCAAACAATTACACTTTTCTTTGCCAAGTTTTAAAATTTTAGCCCATTTTTGTGGTTTTGAACTTTGAGGGTGTGATTTATAATTTTTAAAATTTTTAAAGAGTTTTTTAAAAAAATTTACTTTTAAGTTTGGTAGTTGTAAATTCTATGTTTCATGTGTTGGTGGTAATTTTTTAAATGTTAGTATATTTCTTGTAACTCTAAAATTTTGAAGGTGTCTTTTATAATTATTAAAACTATAGATTAATTTTGAAAAATATTAAATTTTAACGGTCTACCAATTGACGAATTTGATTTGTGCTAGTTAAAAATTTTAAAAATTTAGAGTTTTTTTACGATTTTTAAATTTTGAAGGAGTTTTTTAAAAATTTTGAGGTTAATTTCGGCAAATTTTAATTTTTTAGGTGTCTAAGGGTAATATCTTGAATTCATCTTATGTTATTTACAAATTTTAGAATTTTAGGATGGCTTTTTATAATTTAAACTTTTAAAGGTGTTTCTATAATTTTTGAGCTATTAAGGGTATTAATTAAAAAATTTAAATTTAAATGTCAAAAAATTTAGGTGTATCATAGTAATATGTTGAATTCATCTGTGTTGTTTGTAAGTTTTAAAATTTTAATGTGCTTGTCTGTAATTTAAACTTTTGAGGGTGTTTCTATAATTTTTAAGACATTGATGTGTTAACTGTAAATTTTAAATTCTTTGCAAACTGATGTTAATTTTTTAATTTCATGTTTTTTATTTTAAGTTTTGAGACATTGGGATGATTTTTATAATTTTGAACTTTTCAGGATCTTTTCTGCAATTTTAAAACTTTTAATGGTTTTTTTGCAATACTTCATGTATTATAATATGTTATCTACTTGTAATTTCTTTATCTTAACAAACTAATATCATTTTTATGTTTTATATATTTTATTAATATTAGTTTTTTTAAATTGTTAAGCTAAACATGGTTCACATAGGATTAGGATAAGATATGATTATGATAGATTAAGATATAAATAAAATATTCAAAATAATGAAGGGTAATATTGACCATTGAAAATTAGAATTTGATTATAGATAAGATAGTTCAAACTATAAAGGGGTATATTTGTCTAAAAAAGATATTCCGAACTCATGCTTTTAAAGGGAGTATGATCAAGCGTGCCACGTTTTTATAAATTAAAAATTTCATTCTCGCTTCATATCAATTCTCATATTATGTGGAAATGCGTATTCGCAATGAGTTGTCAAGAAATGGTCATATTCACACTTGTGGGGATAAGGAAAAAAAACTCCCTAATATGTTCATTCTCGTTTTAGTCTCTATAATTTTACCTAAACGCGAGAATGACAATAAGCTTTTCATTCTCATATTTATTCAATTTCATTTCTTATTTCATTCCATTCTCCGTTTCACTCAATTTTCATGTATTAAACAAGACTTTTCAGATTTCAGACCCCTCTGTATCTCTGTTCCTTGCCATCAAATGAGGTACGTTTCGGTAATCCGGATCCGCTATTAAAGTTCGTGTGCAGTTGTGTACTATATTATCATATCATACGAGTGTACAACCCTCGTAGATTGAAAATAAAATTGAATTTCAAACTAGGATACTAAAACAATTTTCCCATTAAAAAGTATCCATGAACCTAACGTTAACAGACAGCGCAGCTAATCTCGCATTAGTAAAGAAATAATAACACTCCAAAATTACATAAGCTGTACTCTTCCATTTAATCTCAAATTTCATTCACCCCCCATCTCATTTTCTCCACAAAACTAAATGGGGGCTCCACCACCAAGCCTAGGCTCATTTCGCCACGCTCTTGAGCAGAGGAGCAAGCAGCGCCTCCTCCTATCCTCCCTGAAAGACGTCGAGTGGGCCCACTTCG